GTCCAGCAGCCTAACCCCCAACTTCTTTGCCTCAGCCCTATCAATACCTGCCAAGCGCATCGGAGTTCGGGCATTCCCCCTGTCCTTGCAGCCAGCCCTGGAACTAGCACACTCTTGATGGGCTCACATCCGTTCATTTTGTTGTGTCTTCTCACTGAAATCACAATTTGAAACCGTAAAAGAAAATACATTAATAATGATATGACTTAATGGAAGAAAAAGCTCCCACTCTTTTTTAAAGTTTTAGTAGAGGTTTTACGCGCTCGCAACTGCATAATAAGGTCAAATGAGCGACAAAAGGTGGATGTCAACAGAGAAGTCCTACAGGGAAGCAGGCTTACTCTGCTCACCTCTCTAGCTTCAACAGCACAAAGTATGCTTTGGCTATCAAGGTACCCCCGGAAAGAGCGGGTCACAAGAATGTAACAAACATACAGAAGAAGTAGAGGAAAAAAAGACGATAGTAAGGATTAGGAAAGGAAAAGAAGCAGTTCCCTGTGGCAGTTCAGATCGTTTGTACAGGTGATATTCATGGATGGGTGGGGGAGATCAGTTGTACAAGTGATTGTCGTGGATGGGTAGGCATGAAAGCAAGTTTGACTGTATAATAATAGCCACACCAATAGGTTTGGTTGAAAAATAAAATGTAGAGGGTGGGGAGTTTTAAGAAGTTTAAAACCTTTTTCGCATCGTGGGGCTTTCACGGAGCGCATTCCCTAAGAACGCCATTATTTTATGTGCGCTATTCCCGGGAAACACGCGATTGGGGGTATTTTTAAGGAAATGAATCTCCATAGTTATAAATCATAGTTGTTTGTAATTTGTGTCAAAGTAAATCTTGGTCAACACGGATATAATATTTTGGATGACATTCACTTTCTCTGACGAAAGTCGTCAACAGTACAAAAGAGCGTATGAGACTGAAAAAAAGGAAACGTTTTAAAAACAAATTTTACACCCCAATATACACACTAAACAGTCCAATGGTGTTTCTTCAAACAGGCTTGATCTATGATAAATATAATTCAACTGAAGTTATCAGAAAATGCAATCGAAGGAATGAAACTGTGCTGTTGTGAACAGCTTTATGAACAGCTCAATATAATCAAGAATCGGTTGGGTCAGCTGCTTCTTTCGGTTCAGTTTTGAGTTGTACTCCTCAAAACACACAGGGTTAAGTCTAACTTTGCAGTTTGAGACTTAGTGCATTGTCAATTTCTTCTGGTATTTTGTATTCACTGCTGGCACCTCAGCTCTGCACGCCTTTCCGGTGCACATGTTCCACAACCGCCTAAAGGCTCTGTATCCGGTGGTGTTTTCAGCTTACTGACACTCTTTGAGGACATGCCTCTCTCATAGCCAAGAAAGTTACAAACTAATAGTGTCAGATTTACTGGATTCCATGACCTCACCCACAAGCTTGAGGACCAGTCTCTCGAAAACATTAGGCCTTTGTTCCTGCTGCTTTTAGGGAGTTTTCTTTAGAATAAGTCTAGACGTTACCAAGGGGTTCCAACACTTTATCACCTTTTGCCTGAAGGAAGAATTAGGCAGGTTCTCATAGTCTAGAGGTAAGGTGTTGGCCTCTCATTCAATAGGCCTAGGTCCCGGGTTCTAAACCTGACAGCGACCGGGAAATGTTCTTCCCTAAAAAAGATAATTCTCCTTTCACCTCTTTTCCCGCTCTGTGACTATGTTGTCGTCTGCTTTCGTCTCCACTTTCTGCCCCATCCTGAACACAATTTTGCCAATTCTTTCTTCCAAAGTCAAAATCGATCAATATTGTTCATCTGTGCTCCTCCAAAAATTTCTATAAGCTTGTCAATCCTGTATTTCCTGCATGTTCCTGACATCTTGTGTTTTCTTTGGGAAAGACTAGTAATAAAAGTACACGTTCTACGAACGGAATAATTATGAAGAATTATTAGGAAAGTTAAGAAGAGGAAAAAGACTGAAAACAGGAAAGAAACAAAACATAAATCTTTTACCTTG